ACCTCCCTACCTGCAAGGGCTGCGCCTTAGCCTCTACAATCCTGCACCCCCCCCCCCCACCTACAGGGGCCGCACCTGAGCCTCTACAGTCCTGCACCTCCCCCTCCCACCTACAGGGGCCGCACCTGAGCCTCCGCAGTGCTGGATTCAAGTGCAGCTGAAGGGCTACAGGAGCATGTAAAAACGGTATACGCCTGACCTCTAACTTCACGAAGGGGAAGGAGAATCGAGATCAACAGCCCAAGGCTGATTCCTATGAAGCAGAGGTCAGACACGTCTCCTCCCTCCACCATCTTTACCAACTCCGACACCAACTGTCCCTCCCACGGCACTCTCTACTTCTCTGCTAAGTTCGATAATTCATTGCAATAGCCACAGAGGACTCAGACCATTCACGATTACGGGATTTATTAGAGAAGTAACAGGTTACAGCTCAGGTTCAGGAACGCTCAGCATACGGTTCTTCCGTCAAAACAGCCTCTTCTCAGCAGTGCTCCCAGGCACGCCTCTGGCCCCTCAGCCTCTGCCCTCCTTGGGCAGGTATTACAGAGCTCTTTTAGCTCTACTGCTAAGTGCCCCAAAGCACACCACTCCGCCAGTAAGCCTTGGCCCTAAGGCACTCAGCTCTAGCTCCATGGGTCAGCAAACCCACCACCGAGTGTCTGGAGGCACCATACTCTGCCAGCGAACCTCCTGCCTGAGGGCGCTCCACTTCTTGCTCTGTGGGTTGGGAAGCTCACCACGCTGTCTCTTGCTGGTCTCTCCTGCCTCTGCTGCCTCCGCTTCTCATCATCTCTGGTGTTACAGCTTCTTCTCTCTCTAGGTCTCCTGGTTCCCGGAGCTTCTCAGTGCAGCGAGTCTGGGACCAAAGGACACGCTCCACTCCCGGCTCTTCTTCCTTGGTGGTGGTGAGATCCTCTCCTCCCGCCTCTGGGATGGCTCATTTTAAGCCTAGCGGAACAGCAAAACTGACCAGTCCCCTTGTTAGGTTTCCATACACCTTATTTGCATCACCCCACTCAGTCACGGTGTGAGTCACAAAGACTATGACTACGAGGGCCACATTAAGTTCTCCGCTGCGCCGCAAGGCCGCTCCCTCACAGGCGCACCTCGAGCACTGAAGACGACCCAGAAGCCAACCAAAGGCCGCCCAGCACCCCAGGTCGGGCTCCCGTGGCTCCCTGCGGACCCAACTCCACTCCTTCCCAAGACAGCACCCCCTCCCCATCCCTGGGGATGGAAAGATAGGTGGGCCATGTTTCCCTTGGGGGGGGCTCTGCTCACACAGCAGAAAGCGCTTTTGTAACAACTCCCCAAAAACTCGATTAGCCATGTCAGTGGGAGGCCTGGGGCATCCCTGGACCCCTTACACCTGCGGGAACAGCTGTAATTTGTGATCAGTTGACCTACCTTCCTAACCAGGGCTCCCACCCCTTCCCAGGTACCCATCCCTTATCCAGGCACCCACTCTCTGCCTTGACACCCACCTCTTACCAGGGCAGCCACCCTCTGTCCAGCCACCCATCCATTACCTGAGGCCCATCCCCCACCCAGCCAGCCATCCCTTCTCACGTCCCCACGCCCTGCTCCTGGGCATGTAGGACACAGGAGCAGGGCCGGACCACGCCCCTGCTCTGGGATTCTGGGCAGGACACCACCCCCTGGTCTTAAGAACAAGGAAACTGAGACACCAGCGAGGAGTGGAGCCTGACTGCGCCGCCCCCTGCAGCTCTCACACTACCAAACAGCCCAGGTCCCCACCTTGTCCCCCAGGGCTGTGTGCCCATTTCACCCCCGCACATGGTGCTAGGACACAGAGGGACGAGACCTCATTCCTACCCTATGGTCAAGAAAACAATACAGTCACAACAACAGTTCACTTATTGAACAAAGACCGTGTGCTGAGCAGCAGGGAAGCGCCATGCAGGCCAGGGGAGCTTGGTGCCCAGGGCCCTCTCCTATATGCCCACCCGTGGCCACAGAGACTATGTGGCCACTGCAGCCCTCCCCAAAGCACAGCGCTGGACAGCGGGACACACTGGTCCTGAGACACAGGGGAGGGCACGGAAGGCAGGTCCCAGCAGTCGGCCAGCCAGCCGCAGGGGCCTCTGGATTTGCTAGGCCCAGCAAAATGGCCCCCTTGAGCTCCCTGGTTCTCACTCGAGCACTTTCTGACTGCGTCTCCCCCTGCACCGTGTCCTCAGAACAGGGCCCAGGTCCCCAGAGCAGGCCAGCCATTCCTGCCCTTCTGGTCTCAGCCTGCTCCACACGGTCCCCACATGGGACCACGCATGACTCCCACAAACTTCCAGACCCTCTCTTCATCTGCTCCTTGTCTGGAATACCCCCCCGCCCCACACACACCTACCCCAAAATACTCCTTCTGATGAAACCAATGTCATCAATGCTTAATGCATATTGAGCACTCGCTGTGCCCAGGAACTCAGGAGATCACAAACAACAAGGCACTTGGGAGTCCAAGCTATGTATCCAAGTGCTACACTGGTGATATGACCGCCAAGGAGGGAGGGGACATTTAAGTGGGACCTTGAATGTAGAGTGAGTCTGCCTGGCAGAATCCTACCCACAGATATGCTGAGGACAAGGTGTACACCTTCTCCTCCTTCACCACCACCCCTAAGCAGGAGCCTATGAGCACACACTGCGGACACCATATCTGAGTGCAGGGCACACACTGTCACACCACCCCAGACCACCCAGTAAAAGATTCCTGGGGCCATGCACTCACTGTCAAAATGCACAGGCAGGAGAGTGCAGACTGCTGACCAAACAGGTCGAGCCAGCTGCCAGCCTAAACCCAAGCCCATTTTTGAGGGTCAGCAGACAGGCTCTCTTTCTGATCACTGGGTCTGGGAGCAGCCAATCCAGCAGACATGCTTGCCTGGAGAAGCTGGGGGGTGGGTGGCAAAGCACAAACAATTGGATGAAGGTTGAAGCCAAAGGTGGAACGGTGACTGTGCTTGTCACGTGTAAGCTCCCAGAAACCAGGGTGCCGGGAGCCCCTCTGGACTGCCAGCAGGTGCCCAGCCCTCTGCCTAGCCAAGTGTCCCCAGGTCAGTGTCATGGCTGGAGAGAACCCTGGAGCCTGACCATGTGGGTTCCACTCCTGGCTCCACTACTTACCAGCCAGGCACTTACTGTCTTTATGACTCTACTTCTTTACCTATAAACTGGAGAGGAGAGTAAGCACCTTCAAGAATAAAACGAGTAAAGACTTGGACACCTGTTGGAACAGCGTCTGCTGCACAGCAAGCACGTCAGCGTTTGTCACACAGATAAAATGCCGTGCTCTGAAATCCACGCTTCTGCTGCTCCTCAAATAACCTGCTTCTGTTCAGAGTTGGCTAAAGCTCCTCATCTGTTAAACCATTAAAAACCTAAAGCCCTCTAAGACAGTAACGTCACTACTATGATAGGCCACAGACTGAGAGTCACCTCCGCAAAGGGCCTGGCAGATTATCAAGGAATAGGGAGCACAGTCAGCACGGCGAACCCCTAAGGAAAAGAAGACGCTCCTGGGAACACGCAGGGAGAGCGAGAATCGAATCAGAATTTGGAAAAGAAATCAACGTAGCTACAAACGACATTTTGGAAATTAAAATAGGAATGCCTGCCACAGATTTCCTTCTGAACGCGTCTTCTAAACAGAAACAGTAAGATACTTAAAATCTCCCTTTCAAAGCTTAAGGAGCTGTTGTCCAAAACGAATTTGTTAAATAAATGTGTTCCTAAACCCAAGTAAATAGTACCCGTAAAAAACTGCAGTGGCAGCTCGTAGAACGACGGAGAACACCGCGAGAAAGGCAAACCTATGAAGTTTCCGTTTGCTGAAGGGGCAGACCAGCGCGTCACGCTAAAAACAATGTCACACGCGAATAAGAGCTGGCGGTGCACGGGAGAGCAAGCGAACCCCGCGAGTAGCGCTGTGGGGACGGGATCCCCACGCTTTGGCCCGACCCTTCGTGGCTCCCAGCGTCAGCAGCTTAGTGAAGAAGCGGGCGGTGCCGCCCTGGCCGTGCGCCCCAGGCCCGCCCGGCCCCTCTCCACCGGCCAACGTGCGCACAGGAGCGAGTGGCCGCCGCCGTTTCGCCTTCCACGCTGCAGCCGAGCGCGATCAGCCCTGCGCCCGCCCGGCCCCGGTCTGGGCCGGCTACGGCGCGCACCGCGGACACCGGCTGCGTCCAGAGGAACC